ACCTCGATAATTTGTCATCAGGAACGGAAACGCATGCGCAGAAACACGTAACTGTGGCGCGGCAAAGTGTGCAGACTGAAAGTCTAGTCACTGCGATGGGGTGAATTAGCGAAAACCAAGAGTCGCCCGACAGCAACCAAAAAAGGGTAAACACAGGTGCGCACAGCATTGTTTTTGTCGTCAGCTAAAACACGCTCGCTGGAAGTACACGTGACGTGGACGAGAACGTAGGTGTCCGATTGCGTACTGCCACACTTCTCAGGAATGCATCTATGTCAAACTTGATGCTTGTGAGGGACAAAAGTCTCCCTAGCAACGATTATAACATGCGCACAATGTTTGTTGTGCTATAGATGACTTCTACGACAGCACCAATCCTCCTATGTCCTCCATTGACATCCGGTTGAAACAGCAACAGCAAAGTCACACCATGACAACGGGAGACTGCAGTAGGTGCAGTAGTTAGTCCAGCATTTGCTCCGGTCGATAGGAGGCATAAGACCTTTCTAACCTCAAGAACGGAAAACCCATCTAGTCAGGCAACACGAACAAAGAAGATAAAGGTGGGTCGTCAACAGCCGTAAGCCAGCCGGTCGGCCAGCCATAACCTATTCCCAGGTAAAGGAGAAGACTTGTCGAGCACCGATCCAATTGGATTATTGTCCCGAGCTTTCAAACTCTCACAGGAGTCCATCGTCAGAAGTAAGCACAGCAACAATTTATGCGGGATCGATATCCGAAGACGTTCATAAGCCGATGCCTATGCATTCCGCCTCAGAGGACTCAAACAAAAGCACCACCGAGGATATGGTACGCACTGCTATACATCAGACATGTTTCAGAAGCGACTGAGCTCATCGCTACGGGACTAGGTGCTGGAACTGCACACCGACCCAAAGCCACTATGCGCAGCAGGAAGATGACAATCAAAGAATGGCTTAATCCCAATGAGCAATCTGGGGTAGTGTATCGTATGGCACGCACAATCTGTTGTAATTACGCAGGTAAAACGGAACGCAGGTTCGGTTCGCGAATACAGGAACATAAGCTGGCTGTGGGGCGAAGAATAATCGCAAGTTGTTGGCTGCACCTATGAAACAGATAATGAGTTTAGTTTCGCAGCCGTCAGGATAATCGTACACGTCAGAAACAAGACGAGTCAAGAATGGATGGAAGCCTGTTCCACAAATAAGAACTCAATCAATCGATGAATTGATTTGGCGCCGACGTACAGAATCCTACGCAGTCACTTCTAGACGTGCTGAACTGAAAGTTGATTGGTGTACACCCCCTATAATAGATCTCTTTTTGTTGCTGTTCTTACCTCTGACGATGACCTCCTGTAAGAGATTGAAAACTCAAGACAATAGACCAATTGGGTCGACAAGCCTTCGGCTGGAATGCGAACTTTCTCATTTGTATTTTCAGGTTACGTAGACCTGATCAGAAATTTTTATTCTGATCGGCCTTGTCATTTTGGACAATAATTCCAGCCTACTGATGGTCCGTCACTAGGCAACGGCAATTTCCGTCCTGATTTTAGATCAAACCGCCATCCTAATACCCCGAAGGCAGGACGTCAGCCGCAGCATATCGGTGGCAATTTGGCTTTGACACACGTCCTAAGACCCTTCACATGGGACAGCAACACACCTACACATTCTGCGAGGGTGGAGTAAGGGGGGGGGCAAGCTGCAACTCACATCCATTCATTTTCAGGGCGATGAGGAGATTGAGAGCGTAGAGCGTATCGTAGTCAGTTCCCGGTCCAACCTCGAGGCTGCGGAAAATGGCTCGTAGGAAGGGTTTCCCGGTGAGCACAAAGGTTGACGCCGGTGTTGTGGATTGCGGACTAGCTGGCGCCTCTTCGGTCTCGACCTCCTCTTGATCGTGCACGGCGGGCACAGAAGCATTCTCAGCCCCTAAACCAGGAGGGAGACAAAGTTGGAAGTTACCCAAGGCAGGCATAAAACAAAGGGCGGTGGGTGAAGTAGAACCGACATAGACAAGACAGACCGAAATTGACGGTTCTTGCTTACTAGCCCTCATCAGCCAGTCATACCCAATTACAGGTGTAGGCCATCTGGGACCTTTGGTCATTGAGTTAAAAACACTAACATTGCACCACGAGCTCATTGCTTTTGTCGATTGCGATCGGTAAGATGATGAATGCTAGGGATCTGGCTGATCTAGTCAAGGAATAAGGTTTTCCCCTTGTGCCCTGGAGCTTGTGGCAGACCGCATTTGGTCGTTACATTGATTCTTCCTCATTCCTGGAACCTTTGTCTACCCGCGCGCCCAGCACTGACTCATCCTCTTATCTCTGCGCTCTCTTGTACTTTTGAACTCTCCGCTGTCGACGCGCGTACGCCTGAAGCTAATCGATGCCCCGCGAGCTCTGATACCAGCAACTGCATCCTTTCCTGATTGGCTAAGGACACATTTCACTGTCAGGCCTTTGCAGCAGCAGACACTTTTCACCGACTCGACTGGCCCTTGAACGCGGCACTTGCAGCAGCAGCAGCAGCTATTGTAAGCATACTTTAGCTGAGTAAAGCTATCCCAGTTCATTTCATCTTCCCTGACTTGTGATTTGGGGACCCTTCTCTTGTCGATACAGCAACTAGCTCGCGACATAAGCTCATACTAGAGCTCTAGAAAACAGTCGCATAGCGACTCGCAGAGTTTGCAGATTGCGTATATATCAGAATTTAATGGAACCATAAATTTCGCGAGCGCTCATCAGCTGCATCCACTCGCTGCATAAACTGAGTAACGAATGAGAAAATACAGAATTGAATTCATACAGAAAAATCGATACAAAAAACATCAAGGTCACAAGAAATGGCCAAGAGGCAATCAATAAAATAGGAAATTTAAACGCTGTGGGCAGCAAAAAACGGTGTAAAAACGTCTAAGGCAAAACAGTAGGGAAGGGGAATGTGTAAACAGGGAGTCGGTGTTACCACGGCAGGGTTAGATTCACCACATGCTCCAGATGTTTACATAGGTCAGATTTAAACTGCCGTATGTAGGCTGCCTCCAGGTAGCGTAAGATACGAGTTGTTCATGCTCGAAGGCTACTTGGAGGCAGCCTATATACGACGGTTTAAACCTGACCTATGTAAACAATTGGAGCATGTAGTGAACTTAACTCTACCTTGGTAACACTGGCGCCCTGTTTACACATTCCCATTCCCAACTTT